CCCCGCCCAACCCCCCCAAGCCCCTGCCCCCCAACCAGGTAGAGGAAGGCGACAAGCTGTGCTGAAAAGCCCTGTTCGGCAACACAGGCTGCCAGCGCTGCTCCTCCCTGCCATGGGCGCGGCCGGCCTCTGGCTGTCTACACACCTACGGGAGCACTGCTCAGGGCCCCGCCCCTGCTGCATGTGGCCTGCGAGCTCGTACCGGTCTGGGCGCGCACCCACCTCTGAAAGAAGCTCTTTTTCATATCCAGGCTGTAGATTCTGAATTTATTTAGGGGAGAGTTATCCAGATAGAGATTTCCAATGATACCTGTAGGGAGGAGGCAGAGAGACCTGAGCGAGCCCAAGGGTGAGGCAGCTGGCCCGGTTGTGCCAGGTTCTTGCCCTCGATGGTTCCTGGGACACTCCAGGAGGATTTCTCCTGAAGCAGGCATGGCCTAAGCAGCTCCTTGCTTGGGGGAAAAGCTCCCTAGAAATCCCAAAGGGGACGAGGCATGGCTGGCCAGGCCCCAAGTCCTGCCATGGAAAGAGGATGCATGAGAGAACAGTGACAGAGCGGAGATGTCACAGCAGTGAGAACAGCCACTGGCCCGTCCGAGGGATGTGCTAGATGACCACAAGGTCACAGATGTTCTAGTCTAGCCTGGAGGTCAATTTCAGAGGGGTTTGGACTAGCCAGACCCAATAACTCAGTTGGAAACCTATGCGACAGGACCTAGGGCGAAAGGTCTTGTCAAGAGTATTTAGTGTGTGCAGATGGCGGGTCACTTCAGCACCCATCACCAAGGGGCAGCTGTTCACATCGTAGTGATTCCTGCCTTGGGGACTGAGCCATCTATGTCGTCCCAGAGCAGCACCCATGGTCCTCTGACTGCAGTCACTGAGCTACTGGAGCGGGAGTGTAGGGAGGGCGGGCAGTGGGAGGCCTGCAGACGCAAGTGTGAGCAAGAACAGAGTTCCGGAGGGACATCTTTAACTTGTGAACACGGAGCTGAGACCTGCAGGACAGAACTCCACAGGGGGTCCAGGCATGCCTGGTGAGGGGCCTGGAGAAGTGGGGACTGGGAACAGCACCCAGGCCATGTACAGTCCACCCCAGGGGGACAAAGATGTGCGAACGAGCCTAGGGAGGGCTCCTGGGGAAGGCGAGGAGACCGGGGGGATCGTTCAGGAAAGTACAGGGCAGCAGGATGGTACCAGAAGCCACCCTGAGACCGCCCCCCAGACCAGGGGCCACCATGGTCAAGCCACATGGCCTCTCTGGCAGGCTACTAGAAGGCTCTGCGGAAATTCTGACCAAGGAAGCAGTGTGCAAGTTTCCTCCATCACAAACGCAAATGCCCGTGAGGACCGGAGGTGGACAGCTGTGCTTACCAAAGAATTTATTTTATCTGAGTTCTTTTTTTTAAATAACTTACCTAAAGCCAGCACATTTAGATAATACAGGGTTTAAAAAAAGAAAAATGAAAAAATAAGGAAGGGCTAAATTAAAGCATAAAAGACTTAGGAGGCCAGGAAAAATAAAGTGAAGTGGCGGGACATTCCCAGAGGAGCACCCCACACGGAGGCCCTGGCTACCTGCCCTACTTCCCCGCCTCTCCCAAAGTGGACCAAGGAGGAAATTCAGTGTGGCCGCCCAAGAAGCAGTGGTCCTAAGCCCTCTTCGGAGTCCTGGAAATCCCAATTCCATGCTCCTCCCTTGCTACCTCCAAGCTGACAGCCCCTGCTACAGCAGACAGCAGCCCAGGGAGTGACCAAGAGGCCATTCAGTGCACATGTGTGTTCATCAAGGCCGCACAGACAACACACTCTCACAGTGCTACAGGGGAACGGACAAGAACCCAGCCGGGCTCCTTTGACCCACTCTGTCCCTGGTCTCATGTGTGGGTCAACCCAGCCTCTACCTCACTCCAATGACCCTCCATGATCCACCTCCTGCAATGACCCTCTATGACCCACCTCCCCCAGTCACCCTCTAAGACCCACCTCACTCCAGTCCCCCTCCATGCCCCCCCTCCCCCAGTTCCCTCCATGACCCACCTCCCCCAGTCCCCCTCCATGCCCCCCCTCCCCCAGTTCCCTCCATGACCCACCTCCCCCAGTCCCCCTCCATGCCCCCCCTCCCCCAGTTCCCTCCATGACCCACCTCCCCCAGTCCCCCTCCATGCCCCCCCTCCCCCAGTTCCCTCCATGACCCACCTCCCCCAGTCCCCCTCCATGCCCCCCCTCCCCCAGTTCCCTCCATGACCCACCTCCCCCAGTCCCCCTCCATGCCCCCCCTCCCCCAGTTCCCTCCATGACCCACCTCCCCCAGTCCCCCTCCATGCCCCCCCTCCCCCAGTTCCCTCCATGACCCACCTCTCCCAGTCACCCTCCATGACCCACCTCCCCCAGTTACCTCCATGACCCACCTCACTCCAGTCACCCTCCACGACCGACCTCACTCCAGTCACCCTCTAAGACCCACCTCACTCCAGTCACCCTCCATGACCCACCTCTCCCAGTCACCCTCCACGACCCACCTCACTCCAGTCACCCTCCATGACCCACCTCACTCCAGTCACCCTCCATGACCCACCTCCCCCAGTCACCCTCCATGACCCACCTCCCCGAGTCATCCTCTGTGGGTTGTCACAGCCTGTTGGCACTCTAGTATGGAGAAAAGGTGGCCACATGTGTGCTAAGCACTGCTAGCCCTCCTCTTGGCCTGAGCTAGAACCCACCTTTGCGTTGGTCATCGATGTTATCACCGTAGTTGACTCGCCCACGATTCTCCACCAAGATCCTCAGCACAGTGAAACCCTGCCAGGAACACAACGGCTTCTGAGGACCACCCAACTGTCCAGCATGAAGTCACTGCTGCAGCTTGGGGTTCATACGTGCACCCCACTCTTCCCTACGCTGTGAAGATTGGAGCAAGAGTCCCAGCCAGTCGGAATGCCAGGCCTGTCCCTGTCCATCTGCAGCTGTAGTTAAGGAGCCTCCTGTCTTCCAGGCTGTCCTCTGTGACTCCTACCAGACTTCCTCAGAAGAGCTGGGGCTAGCTGTCACCCAGCTCCCTAGAACAAACCTGGGTCAAGGGGATAACAATCTTCGTTGTTTTATAGTCCAAGAATCCTATGGATACTGTGTTCACAAATACCTGCCAAGGGAAGCAGACACCATGGTGAACGGGACGCAGGGCAGAAGGGACTTCCACTAAGCAAAGCAAGAGGCCACACTGCGCATGTTCTGGGGAGGGGTACAGAGGTCGAAGTGAACGCCCACGAGCACTGCTGAAAAGGGATGCACACGTTTACACACCAGCGACAGCCAGGTCTGAGGTGAGGGCCAGAGGAATGTGGTAGGGGAAGAGATGCACCTACCTGGGAAAGAGATGCACCTACCTGGCCCCGGTCACGTACGAGACCATGGAGGGTGCCCGACGAGGTGATGGTGGTCTCATACAGAATGTACCCGAAGGACTGTCCGTTCCCATTGTTTACGGGCAGGTTCTCCATGTTGATTGGCTTTTCAGACTTGATTGGCTACACCCAAGAGAGGAGAGGCCCAGGGTCAGGCTAAGCAGAAGGCAGCCTCTTCCCCTGAGCCTATCAAGGGCCCAGCAGGTGGCACAGTGGGGACAGGGAGGGAGGGGAGCACCAGGTCTTCCCAGCACACCCCCGGAAGGCAAGGCTGGGAAGGGTGGGCCTCACAATCCTGCCTGTCAGATAAGGGTCTGACTTCCCAGCATGTTCCCCACAGCTCTGCAGAGCCACAGGAAGAGGGGCCAAGGAAAGGGATCTGTGGCAACAGAATGGAGCCTGCCACCTGGTAGGCTTCGTGCTCCATAGGCCACTGCCATTTCTGCATCACAGGAGAAGGGCCCCCTTGTCAAAGGGGAGGGTGAGGTCCCCTTCTATCCCCACCCAGCTCTCAGCCCCAGCTCCCGAGGTAGAAGCAGGGAACGGTCTGCAGCGCCCCTTCCGCTTCCTTTGCTCCTTCCCACCTGGTGGCCTGGCGCGAGTCACCCTCCACCCGAAAGCCAGAGGACAGACCTCAAAGCATCAAGGCTGGTTTCCCTCTTCTGAGCACCTGTCAGCTCACTCCCCAGCGCCTGCCCTGGAGCACTCACCTCCTCCAAGTACTTGAGGGCATCCCACAGCGACAGGTAGAAAACTGGGGACACTGGCTCGTAGGACGTCTTGGGTAGAAGGTCAGGTGGGGCAGGGAGAGGGGCAGCTGCGACACAAACAGACAACGTGGCCTCCCTAAATGGACCCAGTCACTGGCCACCGTCCCCACCCTGGCTCCTTTCCACGGGGCCAATGCGCTCCTTGATCCTGGCCCACTTGAGCAACAGGCCTCCCAGCAGGGAAAGGCGGGGCTTTCTCTAATCCTCCCTGTGAGACAAGGGGTCTCACACCTCTCTGATAGAAGGTAAAGATGGTAAGACAGGAACTATGACTAAAATAGTCTCTGCAGCTTCCCTGTCCTTGTCAGGATAGTTTGCATACAGACTAACTGGAGATGGTGTGGGAGAAAGAGGAAGTGACTCCTTAGGGGTCTCAGAGCAAAAGCAAGCCGCTAAGCAGGTGCTGGAGTCTGCTGCATGCTGCATACCTGAGATGGAGCTGAAAAAGTCTCGGAGCTTGATGTACTTGGCTGTGTAGTCTCCGGCCTCTGTCAGCACAGCGTCGTAGTCTGCAAGACACCGAGGCCCGCTCCGTCAGGCAGTCCTGGCCCCAGGACAGTGCCTGTGGCAGCAGCAGCCAACACAGAAGCAGGCCAGGGCAGCAGGTCCTGGGCCCAGCAATTCTGGAGGCAAAACACTCCTGTATGAGCCATCCAGTCAAAAGACTAGCACTGCTACATGCCAGCAATACTGCAAAACGCTAGCACTGCTACATGCTTGCAATACTACAAAACACTAGCACTGCTACATGCTGCAATACTGCAAAACGCTAGTACTGCTACATGCCTGCAATACTGCAAAACACTAGCACTGCTACATGCCTGCAACACAGCAAAACGCTTGCACTGCTACATGTCAGCAATATTGCAAAACGCTAGTACTGCTACATGTCTGCAATACTGCAAAACGCTAGTACTGCTACATGCCAGCAATATTGCAAAATGCTAGTACTGCTACATGCCTGCAATACTGCAAAACGCTTGCACTGCTACATGCCTGCAATACTGCAAAATGCTTGCACTGCTACATGCCTGCAATACTGCAAAACGCTTGCACTGCTAAATACCTGCAACACTGCAGAACACTAGCACTGCTGAATGCCCACAACACTGAAAAATGCTAGCACTGCTGAATGCCCACAACACTGAAAAATGCTAGCACTGCAACACTGCAAACACCTGCAATACTGCAAAATGCTTGCACTGCTAAATACTTCCAATACTGCAAAAGTGGGCACAGCCACGGCCAAGTCTCTAGCTGCAGGTAGATAAAGTGAGACATCATTCCCACTTTCTGGGGACTCCCATCTAGAGGGGGTCAGGGGCCACACCACCGTCTGGGCGTGGGTGGTGAGGAGGGGCTACCACCCACCCTTCCTTGTTACCCTAAGTGGCCTCCCCTCACCCCCTCTAGCTGATTCCTTCCAAAGAGGCCCCTGGGCAGAGCAGCCAGCTCACTACTCCAGTGGTCCCCAACCTCTTTGGCACCAGAGACCAGTTTTGTGGAAGACAATTTTTCCACGGAGCAGAGCAAGGGGGGAAGATTCAGAATGGTTCAAATGCATGACATTTATTGTGCACTTTATTATTAGGACATTGTAATAATAAAGACTGCTACTGAGCTATGGCCCAGAGGTTGGGGACCCACTGCCCTGGAAGCGTCACTGTGACAACTGTACGGCCTCCACCTTCCCAGGCTTGTAGCCACATACACTGAAGGTGCCAGAAGCCACCCGAGAAGAACACTCCGTGCAGAGCCTCAGCCACACAAATGCTGGGGTGGGCTGGGGGGAGCAGCCCGGGGATACTCGCCGTAGCTGGTGACGTCTGCACTGTAGTCGTGGAAATGCATGGCACCGTTCATGAAGCCAAAGTTGGTGCCCCCGTGGAACATGTAGAGGTTGATGGAGGAGCCAGCATCGACGAGGGCAGACACTGTTTTTAAGACCTCTGTGGGGGTGGGGAAGGCACGTCAGCTGGGGTTGGGAGTCCCACACATTCCAGGAGGCCCCCATCTCTCATCTTTCCCAGCCCCTCCTCAAGGACACCTTCACCACTCTTCCAGCTTTTACTGAACCACAGAAGACCGGGGAGCAGAAGAGGGCCAGGGTTGTGGTCCAGAGCGCAGGCCTTCCAGCTGTTTTGAAATCCTAGCCAAGCCCGCTGCGGTGTGAACAGCCTATAGCACACACCTCCCTGCCAGCCGGCATGCAGCTCAGCTGTGCCCTTCCTCAGGGAAATGCAACATGATGGAGTCATCCTTAAAGCCTCCCCTAATCCTGTCTTTACTAGGAAATGTACCAATGAGGCATAGATAGTACCAAAGGAGAAAAATAAATGGCTAATATCTATGTTTGTAAAACCTCACTATTGATTGAAGAAATGCAAACTAAACAATGACCTATCAGATTGGCAAATACCAAGACATCTCAGTATTCAGTGGGGAGCCGGTGGGAGGTGGGTAAGCTCGTTTAACATGGTGAATAAAAATGGCAACGATCCTCTTGGAGGGCAACTGGTAATATACACAGCGACACGGCAGTGATGTAGCAATTCTAGTGCTAGAAACTTGTCACCGGGAAATAGTACTGCCAGGTGTGCAAAACTGGATGTCCAAGGGTGCCCGCTGAAATGGTGTGCGAGTGACGAGATCACTCAGTCCCAGCATCCATCGTGAGACTGGGTGAGGCCACTGCGCTCTGGCCATCAGGACAGTGGGGCTCTTTGCATTCTTTAAAACGATACTCCACGGCCAGCAGGTGGCGTGGTGGCTAAGACGCTGGACTCCCACATGGCAGACTGCAGTTTGATCCCAAACTTGGTGGCTTGCTTTCTCTTTCTGTCTCTGTTTCTCTCTCTCTAGTGAGTGTATGTGCCCTCTAGCAAAATTTAAAACTACATAATAAAAATTAAAAAAAATTAAATAAGGAATTCTTTAAAAAAAAAAAGGCACACTAAATCATAGTGCACAGTATGTCATAGTGCAGAAGCTGTCCACCGTGTCATGAACTGCCGCACGCAGGGGCCAGCAGTCTGTGTCTCCCTCTCGGTGCACATGGGGCTGGGGGACGAGAATACCGAGAACTGTGGGCACTGGATACATCAAAATGCTTTTTCTGGGCTCTGGGACTTTTTCTTTTTTTATAGTTTTTCCATACTTTCCGGATGTTTACAGGAGGCATGCATTATTTTTCTAATTACAAAAACATGTTAAACAACATTAAAGTCCTCTCGTTCACTTTAAATGTCAAAACAAATGACTCTGAATGTCAAGGGCTGATTATTAACACACAAACAACGCCAGCAGCCTTGCGCCCCACAGCTAATCCCCATCCCCGCAGGCTACCCAGAGCTAGTTCTTGCTGCCGAAGGTACCAGCGTGCTTGGCAAAGCACTCACCTGAAGAATCCAAGATATGGTGTGGGCCCCCCCACGAGTCAAACCAGCCAGTCCAGTACTCCATCACCATCTTGGGCTGGACCACCTGGGCACCACAAATGACAGTTAGGCCGGAAGGCTGGCCAGGAGGGAAGAGGGGAGTCCTTCCTGGAGGGAACCCAGGACCTCTGCCCCCCAACTCTCCTGGACATACTCTCCTGGCCTAAGAGGCCAGAACATCAAGGGCCAGACTCTCCTGCACTGGCTCCCCCACCAGGTGAGGCCTCCACACGTGCAGGTGTTGGGTGAGGAAGCCACCCACCCAGGTCGGTGCAGTGGGCCCGGAAGGCTGCGCACGATGTGAGATTGCACACAGCCCTCGTAAGAAGACAGTGGCATCTGCCCAAGTTAAGTCTCCACTGGGATCCAGCAGCTGCTGTGGAAGCTTTTTCCCTGCATCGGTTTGCTTTCCGGATCGAGCCAAGCTTTGTGTATTCTCTTCCAGGGAAGGAGAATGCTCCGTCCAGAACATCGCAGTACCTGAGAGGCACGCCGCGGATGCAGAGCCCTTAAGTATTGCTTCCCTTTAGCCAGAGGAGTCAGGGCTACAGAGTGGGCCTTTTTCAAGAAATAGCTGAGCTTAAATAGCTGTTTGTAATCCAGACCAAAAGTCAGGGGCCATCAGCACAGCTATTCCAGCACATTCTGCAGCCACAGTCGGGACTTACACTTTGGCTGGACACCAGACAAGCATACCCATCATTCACTGACCATGGCATAGGAGCCCCAGGGATGCAGAGATGGCCCTGCGGCCCCTGCTCTGCTCTGCCCCACCTTCAGGGATGGATCAGAACAGGACTGAGCTGTATACACCCGTCAGCCTGATGGGTGCAGAGAGACATCCAGACACCCCACCTCTCCTCTACCTGGAATAACCAGGCTTCTTGGCAATAACCTCAAGGACTGGAGAAGCCTTCTAGGTTAAGGACAAACCTTAAATGCTACAGACCACAGAAGTGTTGTCTTCTCGTGGGCCCCTGGGGTTAGTGGGGTCCATGCAAGTCTAGTCCTAAGCTCCAGGGAAGTGCAGCAAGCCTGCAGCTGCAAGGGGACCCCCTTCTCAAGGGGCAGC